TCCTGACTGAGACAGCTGCAAGCTGTGCGAGTGTGAGCTAGGAACTTCCGGGCTCCTGTCCTCCATGGACCCTTTGTGATACTCTGCCAGTGGCCCTAGCAATTTGATGATCAGACTTTTATTTTTTTAATGAGGGCTCTCTAAATTATATCAGCTTTAAGCATCACAGAACCTACATCTAGCCCAGAAAGGCAGAAAGCCTACTAGAGTTCTTAGGACCCCAGCAGCTTCTCTAGGAGAAATCCATAGCACTGCTGACTCTGGGCTGGACTGAGTCTCCAGTGGAGCCTCCCCGGTCCTTCCTTTCACTCTCCTGCAGGATGTGCAGGTGTTAACTTTGTGCTAGGAGCAGAGTGGCTTTTCTTAAAACAAAAACAAAAAATTTTTTTTTAAGTATTTCATACAGGGTCTCACTACGCAGCTCAGACTTGTAGTGGTCCTCTTGTTTTCAGCCTCGCCAGCACTGGGATTACAGGTGTGCGCCACCACACCAGTCTCAGTGGCTCACTCAGCATTGGGGGAGGGGGCTGTATGGCCTGTAGTGCCAGCGATCGAACCCGCTACCTGTGCTTGCATGAGCAGGTGCTTAGTCGGCTGAGCTATCTAGCCTATATAGTAGCTTTTGAAGTCCTTGCTTAAAATGTTTGTAGTCAGCAATTAGATTATGCTCCTCTTCGTTGTGTTTGGACAGTTTATCTCAAATTTAAGAAGTGACACTTTTGAGGCTAGGGAGATGGCTCAGTATAATAAACGCTTCCCTGGCAAGGGCAAGGGCCTGAGTTCAATCCCTGGTTCTGCAAAAAAAAAAAAAAAAAAAAAAAAGTGACACTTTCTTACAATAGGAATGCTAGTGAGAATATTTTACATCACACAAAAATCTTACAGCAAGGGCTGGCCAGATAGCTCAGCGGATTAAAGAGCGGCTGAGGCAGACTCAGGGGCTGGGATTCAGCTTGGGCCTGCTGTGCCAGTCCCATCCTCGGGGCGCGCTGAGATGGTGATTGAGATTGGTTGTGGTGACACGTGCTTATAATCCCAGTGCTTGGGAGGCTGAAAACAGGAGAATCACTACGAGTCTGATCTGTGTAGTGAGACCCTGAAGACCCTGTCCTAAATACAAAAAAACAAAGAAGAAATTTACAGCAAGCATCCTTACAACAAACCATAGAATAGATACATGTAAGTTAGCATTTTGGCACATAGCATGGACTTAGTATGTGATTGAGAATGTGCACCAATGAGTGAGTGAAGGAAAGAACGAATTTAAGTACATCTGCTGCACACAGGGCTCTTCTCAGTTTGATTACTAAACAACACGGGTCATATTTGTTCTTGTTAATTCTCTCTAGATTTTATTGAGCACAGAACCTAGAACTCCCAACTGCTTTACTTTTGGATGAAAATCATGAATCATTTGGGGATATGTTCCAACACAACTTCTAGGAAACCCTTGAGGGCACCTTTAATTAGGGTCTGGAAGAGTTTGGAGACAACTGATCCTTAAGAACTATTTTCCAGGGGCCAGGGAGATGGCTCAGTAGAATAAGCGCTTCCCTGGCAAGCGCAAAGGCCTGAGTTCAATCCCTGGTTCCGCAAAAGAAAAAAAAAACAAAAAACTATTTTCCAGGGTCACCCAATTAAAGCACCTGCTTATGCAGACTCAGGGACCACCCAGGTTGGATCCAGGTATGCCACACTGGCCCTGCCCTGGGGGCACGCTGAAAGGGTGATTGAGGCTGGGTGTGGTGGTGCATGCCTGTAATCCCAGATCTTTGGGAGGCTGAACCTAGGAGAATCACTACGAGTCGGATCTACGTAGTGAGACCCTGTAGACATTTACTAAAATACAAAAAATAATAATAAAATAAATCTATTTTTCAAATTGGATATTTTCTTAAAAGGCTTGATTACTGCCAGGCATGGGGGTGCACACCTGTAATTCCACTACTTTTCGAGGCTGAAGCAGGAAGATCGCTGTGAGTTTGAGACCAGTCTGGGATACAAAATAGAGGTCAACTCCTCTTCACTTTCTTCCTTTGGCATCTATTTCCGAATGGTAAGGAGCGCTGATAAACATTTTAGAGGAGAAGAAAAAGGGATGTGGCCATTCTTGCCACTATAAAGCAGGCTTGTGATTTTAAAGACCACAATCTTTAAAACTTCAGAATTAGTTTAATTATGTTTAGAATTATACTGCCATTTTAGGTATTTATATTTATGCTACATTACTGTATATTTTACATTTAAATAAAACAAAATATAAACCTAACTTTTAGGGGCTTGGAGACCCTTAAAATATATATATGAGTGACATGGAAAAATCCAAACACATAATGTTTTGCTATTTTTTTTCTAAAAAATTATTTTCTGGGGGCTGGTGAGATGGCTCAGTGGTCTAAAGCACCTACTCAGAGCAAGCTTAGCAAAGCACAGGGACCACGGTTCGATCCCCCAGCACCACATGCCAGCCAGCCCTGCCCCCTGGTGGGCTGAGCTGGCCACACACACACACACACACACACATAAATAAATAAATAAAATTTTAACAAAAAAAAATTATTTTCTGGGCTGGGGATCTAGCTCAGAGGCACAGCACCTGCCTGGCAAATGCAGTCTCAATTCCCAGTATCCAAAAAAAAATTTTTTTTTCTTTAATTTGTATGTATCATGGATACAATTAGAAAGCAAGGAAGTAGGTTGCTTCATGTTAATAATGAATATGTAGACAACTATATGAATGTAGAATTTTTTATTTTGTTTTCTTTTTTTAAATGTATTTAGTACAGGGTCTACAGGGTCTCACTACATATATTGGACTTGCAGTGATACTGTTTTCAGCTTCCCGAGGGCTGGGATTACAGGCAGGAGCCACCACGCCCAGTCTCAATCACCATCTCAGTGTGCCCCAAGGGCAGGGCTGGCACCAAAGGCCAGGGATTAAGCCCTTTGCCTAAACAGGCACTTTAATCCATTGAGCTACCTGGCCAGCCCCTTGTTTTCATTTTGTAAAAACACTTACTGTAAACTCTATGCAGGGTGTCATGCTGCCCACTGAGACACAAAGATGAACTGCACTGGATAGCATTCCTTTTTTCTTTCTTTCTTTCTTTCTTTTTTTTTTTTTGTGGTTGGCTCAGCCCACCCTGAGCATGGGGCAGGTGTCACACATGGTACTAAAGATCCAACCAAAGTCCCTGAGCTATCTTGCTGGCCCATGGGTAGTATTCCTGTTTTTTTTTTTTTTTTTTTTTTTTTAACTGGGGATTGAACTCAGGCCCTTGCACTTGCCAAGCAAGCACTTATTCTACTGAGCCATCTCCCTGGCTCCTTGGATAGCATTCCTGATGAGCAGAAAGCTATGCAAAAAAATAATTTCAGGAAATAGTGAGGAGATAGTTTTTGGGGGAGACAAGGAGCTTTTGTTGGAGACTCTCTGTTGTCACATATGACGAGCTCACCTACTTCGCAGTGCGTTGGAGACACTTATGAAGGAGGAAACTGATTCTGGGACACTGAATTCCTGTCTGGAGTTAACTGCTAATGAAAGAGCCTGGCGAAAATTGATCCCTATCCTGTCTCAACTATGGCAGCCAGACAGCACTATACTCCAACAGTCCTTGAGAACAGGGCTCAGCTCTCTCTGCAAGGCCCCGTGGGCTTTTCCTTCAACTGGGAATGTGTTCCTTCCCACTTCTGGTTCTGGAGCTTGGAAGGCTCACTTGCTTAACAGCAAACAGGATAAACTTTTCTTTTCTTTTTTTTTTTTTTTTTGCGAAACTGGGGATTGAACTCAGGCCCTTGCACTTGCCAGGGAAGCGCTTATTCCACTGAGCCATCTCCCCAGCCCTTTCTACTTGTTTTTATGTACTTGGTACAGAATCTTACTACTCAGCCCCAACTCATAATGGTCCTCCTGTGTCAGTCCCTGGAGCGCTGGGATTACCGGCGTGTTCTATCATGCCTTGTCTGTGTAGCAGGCTAAGCACTCCCCGGGGGAGGGCCCCGCGCGGGATGTGGTGTCAGGGATCTAACCTGGTCCCTGCGCTTGTCTAAGCAGGCACTTAGCACTTAGTCCGCTGAGCTATCTCCCCAGGATAAGGGTTTGTTCCATTTTTTTCCTTCATGTTCACTATTAAATACCTTGAGGAGAGCTCATTTTCTGTTGTTTAGATTGGTGTAATCTGTGAATTTACATTAATCTCTGAGGTCTGGACCTCACAGTGTTCTCACCTGTGAGTTACAGGTGAAATTATCCGTCAATCACCTTTCAGAGCTAAATTGCCAAATAGTCTTAATATTTTATTATTCTGGTTTGGAACATCTGTATCAAGAGTACTTTTCTTGTGCTTGATAAAGTCAGAGTTTTCCACATGCAGACTGGGACAGCGCGCAGGGTAGCCGGGATGTCCTACTTTACTTCCCCCAAAGGTCAGATGCAGGTGTAGCGTGTCTGGGAGAGGCGAGCCCCTGAGCTCGCTCCAACAAAAGGACAGCAGCCGGGCTGCTCAGAGAGGTCCAGGGTGGAACCCAAACTCCACTTTGCAACCTAGCTTTCCTCTGAGCAGCAGCTCGGGGCGGAGCTGTGATCGGGAACAGGCTCTGGGTGCCTTTAAATGCTAATGAGCGCGCCGCCCCACTGAGCCAAGTTTCCCCACCCTCTTCCCTCCCAGCCGCCTAGAAAAACTCGCGCGGGGCCATTTTCGGGGCAGTAAGATCGCGCCGAGCCGCGCGCAGCCGGAGCTCGAGCCGCCCCGCCGCGAGACCCCGC